TGAGACAAGAAGATGACTTGCGCTGAAGAGTTGGAGGTTTCTGTGAGCTATGATGCTACGGCATTCTACCCAGGGCGTCAGCTTGAGACTCTGTCTCAAAAAAAGAAAAAAAGAGTCTGAGGTTGCTGTGAGCTATGACGCAGTGGCACTCTACTAGGGCAACAAAGTGAGACTCTTATCTCAAAAAAAAAATTTGCAGTGTAATTCCTTCAGAAGTCTTAAAACTCTTTGTCTTTTAATTACATCTTTTCTTCTTTTACAGGGGTTTTCTTACAGATCTTATTTTCCTCAAAATGAGCATTAGCATCACTTTCTTAAGTCCTTTTGCCAGGTTTTTGGTGCCATTTACCCTTCAGAGGAAGAGCAAAAATTTATACACAGCAATTCTGCAGAGATACATGCCTTCCAAAATACTGTCTGTGTCCTATCATAAGGAGAGTACATCACCTCCTCAACAGCTAGAATTGGATGGATGGAAAGCAACAATGAAATCTAGGGTGCAAGAAGAAGGTGACTCAGCAGTCTCCAGCAACGACGATGAAGATCCTCTAGCTGCCACCAGAGAGTTAATTGAAATGTGGAGATTGCTTGGCAAAGAAGTACCAGAACATATCACTGAAGATGAACTCAAAATCATTATGGAATGTCCTTCTAAATCATCAAGAAAAAAATATTTAAAATATTTATATGTTAAGGAAAAATTGAAAAAAGCTAATAAGATAAAAAAGGAAATGAAAGCAGCAGCAAGGGTAGAATTTAAAAACAAGCTGCTAGAAACCTCTGAGGCAGACAAACAGCAGCAAAACTTTCTATTTTTACGACTTTGGGATAGGAATATGGACATGGCAATGGGCTGGAAGGGTGCTCAGGCCATGCAGTTTGGACAACCTTTGGTTTTTGACATGGTTTATGAGAATTCTATGAAACGAAAAGAACTGCAGAATGCTGTTTCCCAACTTTTAGAAAGTGAAGGATGCAATAGAAAAGACGTTGATCCTTTCCATATTTATTTCTGCAATCTTAAAATAGATGGTGCTTATCAGAGAGAGTTAATTAAACGGTATGGAGAAAAATGGGACAAACTGCTTATAACAGCAACAGAAAAGTCTTATGTAGATTTATTTCCAAAGGACAGTATTATATATTTAACTGCAGATTCTCCTAATGTTATGACTACCTTCAAGCATGACAAAATTTATATAGTTGGGTCTTTTGTTGATAGACATATGCAACCAGGTGCATCCCTAGCCAACGCAAAACGTCTGAACCTGGCAACAGAATGCCTTCCATTAGATAAATATTTACAGTGGGACATAGGTACTAAAAATCTCACCTTAGATCAAATGATTCGGATTTTGTTATGTCTGAAAAATACTGGTAATTGGGAAGAAGCTCTGAAGTTTGTTCCCAGGAGGAAACATAGTGGTTATGTGGAGATACCTCAGTATTCTCAAGAGTTCATCGACAGAATAAAGAAAGTAAAGACTTCTAATTTGTTTTCAAAAGGTTCTCTAAATATACATACACAGAAAAAGTGTCTTAAATGAGAAAATATTATAGCTTAAAAAATAAATGGATTGGAAATACATTTCTACTACTATATTTCTGTCTGAATGGAGTTCATTTTCTTTCTTTTTTTTTTTTTTTTTTTTTTTGGAGTTGTTGGCTGGGGCTGGGTTTGAACCTGCCAGCATGTGGGCAGGCATCCTACTCCTTTGAGCCACAGGCGCTGCCCTGGAATTCATTTTCTTTATTTCCAAACTGCAGGGGCCTGTCTTTTTCAACAAAACCTTTGTAAAACTTTGAGGTTATATTTTGTTTACAATAAAAAGAATAATTTTAGTAAGTGAAAAGATTTATCCAGGTTTGTTGAACAGAATAGTCTTTTTTGTTTTTTTTTGAGATCCAGTCTATGTTGCCCTTGGTAGGATGCCGTGGTGTCACACCTCATAGCACCCTCAAACTCTTGGGCTTAAGCAATTCTCTTGCCTCAGCCTCCCAGGTAGCAAGGATTACAGACTTCCGCCACCATGCCTGGCTATTTTTTTGTCATAGTTGTGTAGCAGGGCCAGGCGGGGTTGGAACCCACCAGCCTTGGTGAATATGGCCAGTGCCCTATCCACTGAGCACAGGCACCGAACTAATAAGGTCTTTCTTAATTTCAACTGCAGCTCTAACCACTTTTTGGCACTTTTTGGCCAGGCCAGGTATGATATGAACACGCCACCTACAGTATATGGGGCTGGCACCCTTCTTTGAGCCACAGGCGCCACCCACAGCTTGCTCCCCCCCCCCACCCCGCTTAGGACCAGTGGTGAATACACTTAGTTGGGGTTTTTTTGTTTGTTTTTTAAAAGACAGTCTCACTGTGTCACCCTTGGTAGAGTGCTAATGGTGTCACCGCTCACAGCAACCTCCAGCTCTTGGGCTTAGGTGATTCTCTTGCCTCAGCCTCCCGAGTAGCTGGGACTACAGGAGCCTGCCACAACGCCCAGCTATTTTTTTGTTGCAGTTCGGCCGGGCTGGGTTTGACTCCGCCACCCTCGGTATATGGAGGCCAGCGCCCTACTCATTGAGCCACGGGGGCCGCTTGGGTTTTGTTTGTTTTTAAACAGTCTCACTTGGACCCCACTGGTAGAGCGCTGTAGCATCATATCTCATAGCAACCTCAAACTCCTAGGCTTATGCCATTCTCTTGCCTCAGCCTCCCAAGTAACTGAGATTGCAAGCACCAGCCACAACGCCTGGTCTCTGGCTGCCGCTGGTCTCAAACCTGTGAGCTCAAGCAATCTACCCACCTCAGCCTCTCAAGTGCTGGGATTACAAGCGTGAGCTAGGGTGCCCAGCCCACTTCGTTATTATATACATAAAAAAACCACACAAAACAGGCACAAAAATGTAAGATTAGCAGCCAAACTCACAAGAGATGTTTTCACTACACGCAGGCGTCCTCAAACTACTGCCCGCAGGCCACATGCAGCCAGCATAGGACATTTATCTCGCCCGCGGGGTGTTTTTGCCGCCGCTGCCTGCCCTGCTTAGCAGCCGACTCCTCCCGGCCTGCAGTCCGGCCCTCCAACGGTCTGAGGGACAGTGAACTGGCCCCCTGTTTAAAAAGTTTGAGGACCCCTGCTCCTACAGCTTCTGACAAGGAACTGAAGGACAAATCACGTGGGTGGCCCAATTCCTGGGCAAACTTACGCACAAAAACGTGCTGGGCTTTCGAATTCGAAAGCAGAATTCAGATTTCAGGCAAAATTTGCTCAAATTTTTCATTCGATTCTAAGTTCAAGTTCTGGGTTGTTCGCTTTGGGTGGCAATAGTGTACTACCTTTATCTTATAAACTATATATCCTATAACTTATGGGATATACTCCTTGATAGGTATGTGACCAGATTTTCATTTTCCTCTTTTTTTAAATTATTTTTTGAGACAGAGTCTCACTTTGTCGCCCGAGGTAGAGTGCTGTAGCATCACAGCTCACAGTAACCTCCAACTCTTGGGCTTAGGCAATTCTCTTGCCTCAGCCTCCCGGGTAGCTGGGAATACAGGCACCCGCCACAACGCCCTATTTGTTGTTGTTGTTGTTGCAGTTGTCGTTGTTTAGCTGGCAGGCCCGGGCCGGGTTCGAACCCGCCAGCCTCGGTCTATGTGGCCGGCGCCCTAACCACTGAGCACCGGCGCCGAGCCTGTTTTTTCCTTTCTTTACGTGGGGTAGGCAGGCACACGAGATCCAGCAAGACCAGAATGAAAGACCGAACCAGCTAAAGTGTAGCCACACCCAGGCATACATAAACCTAGGATTCTATCAGCGTTTCCAGAGAGATCACGTTCTCTCTTCTCAGGAAATGCCAAAGGGCAACGAAGCCCGCTAGTCAGGTCCCTATCCAGTCTTCCACCTAGACCGCCCCACCTTCCCCGCCTTTCCTTCCAAGGCGTCCGATCGATGACATCACATCCACGTCCGTTTCCATAGGACGTCTTTTCGCTTTTCCGGGCCGCTCTAGGCTGCTGTCTCGACTGCTGGCTCCAAAGCTCAATGGTTGCTGGGCGGGGCCGTGACGTACTTGGCGTGGCTGCAGGGGAGGCCGCGGCGGGGAAAATGGCGGACGGGAAGGCGGGAGAGGAGAAGCCTGAAAAGTCGCAGCGAGCTGGAGCCGCCGGAGGTGAACACAACCCCAGCGTCGCGGGCTGCGTGGGATACTCTGGGCCATTCGTTGAGCTCCCCAGGGTGGGGGGAGTGGGGTCGAGCGAGAATGGGCGGATCTGGCGCTCACCCTGCCAGGTGTTGGGCCCAGACGAGCCCCGGGCACGCCCGGTGCGGCCCGCTGGGATCAGGGCCCACGTCGCCTCCTTGCCGGAGGAGAACCGGCCACTGTTCGTCACCTCCTGGCCCCAACGGAGGCCTTACTTCCGAGAAGGGAGTTGGGCGCCAGAAAGGGAGAACGAACTCGGGGTGGGACCGGGAGCGGCGGTGCTGGAGCCGCTACTACCACACCGGAGACGCACATCACACAAAACACACACACACAAGCACACACACCCAACACCTCAGGGCGAGCCATCGAGTAGTGGCCGCGAGACCTGGCCGCAGGCCTATTTTCCCTGGTCCCGGCCTCTCAGTTACACGCGGGAGTTCATTACGCTTGGTGTGTATAACCCCGGCCTGCTCTCTTGGCTTTATTTTCAAACTTAATACTGATCCTGTCACAGGAAGGGCCATGGAGGGAAAGAGAAGTATTTTTGCTTGGCTGCTGATTTAAGCTGCAATCTAGGGCTAAGGTTAGGGTTTGATTTCCTTTATTTGAAGTAGTACATTTTCTTAGGCTGTTGGCGGTTGACCGCATGCCAGAACTTAAGTGGTTAAAATAGGTTAGTGTGACTTCCTGTATTTTGTTTCGATGTTAAACTCAGGTTACAGCGATCCTTATTCTATCCCTTCCACCCCTGTAAATTTGGGTCTGTGCATTAAGGAAAAGAAACATGTAATCTCTTCAATCCCCCCGTTTTGTCATGACAAGGCAAATGACTTAACATATGTGAGTTAGTCATAATGTCTTTAGAGCGTTTTAAATATTCTCTATTCTGACTGACTTTAAGTCTTTTCCTTGAAAGCATTTAATATGGGCAACTGTAGAAGATTAATGGCATATGAAGGCAATTAGTAGGGCCTACTAATAGTGTATGAAGTGAATTGCCTTGGAAACAAACGTTATTGAAAAGATTAATGTCATTACTTTGGACCCAGAATTAATTTTCTTTTTAGAAACTATGCATAGTGCTATCATTTGAGCTGAAACTTCCTCCTCCTCCTTTATTAGCATTATTTTTTTTTTACTCATAGCCTAGCCTATGCAACAGCAATTTAAACCATCTAATACTTCCTCTTGTAGACTTTTTTCCCCAAAAAAGTAGTGTCTTGGAAACTGTTAAGATAAAATTATAAAAAAATTCAGAAGTAGTTTGAGGAAAAGCAAAGATCTGTAGTCTAAAGGATCTTAGGGGGTGAAGAGATACGCAGAGATAATGCTGCCAAAATGTGCCTAAGTGTCAGCATAAATCCACTGTGTAAGTTTATCTGCCACTCATTCAGTTGAAGGATATTAGCTCTGTAATATGAAATATTGATGTTTCCATTTTAGCATGGGGGGATAGTATAAAATTACTAATTAGCATTAGAGAAATTATTATAGACCTTTATTAGTAACTTGGTAATATCCTTTAATTTCTACATAATTTGCCTCACTTTTTTTTTTTTGGTAGAGACAGAGTCTCACTTTATCGCCCTCAGTAGAGTGCTGTGGTACCACATAGCTCACAGCAACCTCCAACTCCTGGGCTTAGGCATTTCTTTTGCCTCCGCCTCCCAAATAGCTGGGACTACCAGCGCCTGCCACGGTGCCCAGCTATTTTTTTGTTGCAGCTTGGCCGGGGGCTGGGTTTGAACCCACCACCCTCCATTTATGGGGCCAGCATCCTACTCACTGAGGCACAGGCACTGCCCCATTTGCCTCATTTTCTGTACAGGAGACTAGTGCTGTTGCACATAAACCATTTTTGGAAGTCATATTTATCTTTCCTTCTTTATTTTATTTTTTTGCGGTTTTTGGCTGGGGCTGGGTTTGAACCCACCACCTCTGGTATATGGGGCTGGGACCCTACTCCTTGAGCCACAGGCACCACCCAAAAGTCATATCTTTAATGAAATTGTGCAGAGAAGTCATAGTTAAAACATTTCATACTATGGGTATTGATGAATTGATAATTTTGTGAGAAGTAGTAACTTTTTTGAAAACATTTTCAAGTTTGTCCTAGAGGCGGGGCTCAGTGGCACATCCACGTCTGTTTCCGTAGGAGGCATCTGTAATCCCAGGCTGAGGCAATTGGATTGCCTGAGTTCACAGGTTTGAGACTAGCCTGAGCCTGAGCAAGAGCAAGACCTGGTCTCTAAATAACTGGGCACTGTGGCAGGCACCTCTAATCCCAGCTACTTGGAAGGCTGAGGCAAGAGGATTGTTTGAACCCACGAGTTTGAGGTTGCTGTGAGCTGAGATGCCATGGTACAAAGGGTAATCAAGTAAAACTCTGTCTTAAAAAAAAAGTTTGTCCTAGGGACTTACCAAGAGGATATTATGAATTTTAATTCCTGTTGCACAGTCTGCTGAGTTGGAAATACAAGTATTTTTTAATGAGTAATTTCCATAGGTAACATTGATTTATGTCTGTGAGAAGCATCTTACTCAGATTACTTACTTTCACTTTAAAGACTAGGGTAAGGCTTTTGGTAGATTGTTTTTTCTTCTCTACGGTTAATTTTTTGAAATAAGTAGAAATTTTTAGAGCTATTCCACATAATTATGGCCATCTCAGACTCTCTAAGTTGTATTAAGAACTATTTCAGTGGAATTGACATTTGTTATGCCAGACACTAATAGAATCTTGAATAGTTCTCCTTTAAGCTGCATACAAGCCCTATTCGAGGATGTTTTTCTTTCGGATAAGGAAGCTACCAGAATGCACATGGGTCATGAAGGATAGGTCCC